AGAGAGAGAGAGAGAGAGAGAGAGAGAGAGAGAGAGAGAGAGCGTGTGTGTGTGTGTGTGTGTGTGTTTTCGATTTTCCCCACAACAGCCCCAATTCCACCCACGTGAATAGATTCAGAATCAAAGCAGTCTTTGTCCTGTTGCAGACAACGAGCATTTGAGATGTCCAACATATTAAAGCAATTTTATAATTAGACAGTTTTTTGGTTGTCCTTGGGGTACCCCTTTCATTGTTCTTGCAGCTCCCCTTCTACTGTGCCTCTTACGCACAAGGCTGCCCACGTTGATTGTGGTTGAGCGGCAGCTGCCCGCATCCCCGTGTGCCTTCACGGCCCACTTGCACGTTATTTCAGGAGGCAGAGTAAAAGGGAAGGTATGCTCCTGTGCATCTCTTCAGAGCTTCATACTCCTGTTCATTTCACTTCAGATCTTCAGCTTATACAGCCTTTGTGTCCCTCCTTCATCTTCATACTTCCATTCATTTCATTTCTGATCTTCATATCGTCTATACTCTTAATGATGCTCATTCGTATGTATTTGTTAGTAGTACAAAGGGAGTGGAGGGGAGGGTGAAGGGGAAGGGATAGAAGGCGAAGTTCTCTAGGAGTAAGGGGCAGGGGAGGTAGGGGCAACGGGAAGGAAAGAAATATGTGGAGGGCAGGAGAGTATGACATGCAAAGAGCAGGGGAAAGGTGTATGACGGGTTTCACAGATTTCTAAATATTCACCGACGCAGATGCAAGGAAGATGAGCAATAGCGAACTTCAGCAATCAAACAGCATCATACATATGAGTCCAGATAGTCGTGACCTCGAACCAACAGCAGAATTGCATCACGAGATTCACCAAATAAGAACATACCAAGAGTTCATAATTGACAATGCTGAAATAATCCCATCATCATCAACGAAGAATGAGAGTTGATATCCTATCTGGCGCTCGGCGCCCAGACTACATGTGGCAGATCCTATCTAGCCTGTACTACGATGCCGAAAGATGACGTCAACAGCTTTCCCGAAGTATGAGCATACAGCGACCAGCGTCGCTCGTTTCCAGCACCAGGCATGTCTCTCGCCACACTCACAACCTCGTTCCCCAACACACAGATTCCACTAGCACCCAAGGACCACCCTGCACTTCACCCAGCTTACAGCAGCGCAGCTCGGCTATGGCTGCGTGCTCCTTCCCTGCTCGCCCGTGAGAGCGTAGGCGCCAGCCAGCAAATAGTGCAGCAGCGCTTGCGCAGCATGCAGCCAGCAACCGAATGCCGAATGCGGAGGCAGGCCCTTTGCTATATCGAAGTGGCCTGCCTGCGTTCAGTCCCAGGAAGCTTCCAGTAGGCCCCGGTAGCCTGAGGCTCAGCACGATGAAAACAGGCCTTGGGCCTGAGGTGGTTGCATGTGCCCAACTGCCTTTGGCCTGTGTTTGGCCGAGTACCCGTATCCAGCCCAGGGCCTGCTTCACATACATTCACACAGGCGGCCCAGGGCCTGGGTTCACTCAACCAACTGGCGCTGCGCAACTGCCTGAATTTCCCTGAGTTGCGTGGTGGCCAGAATAGGGCCCTGAGGGCCTCGTCGAGCCTGCCTTCACTTAGGGCGGCCGACGGGTTGCAAAATGGGGCCTTATGGGGCTCATAGAGGCAGTGGCCTCGCATTCCCTCCTCCTTAGCTTCAACAGTCCTCTGAGAAGCTCAGTCTTCAATCATGGGGCGCTTTCCCTTCTGCAGAGATCTCTCATATTGGGCTACAACTTGAGGAGCGGTCTGCATGAGTTCCTCCCTGGTGAACCAACGGTCCTCCTTTGGATCAGTGTGATGCTGGAACCGAACGCGATATTGCAGCTTCGGTTTCGGAGGGCGTCCCCTGCCTGTTGGTCTTGATACTGGCAGCTCTCTGTGGTCCATGATGTCATCGATGTCCACCTCTCCGTTCATGGTTGGGGGCAGCATTGAGCATCGAGATGGGAACTGATCAGTTTCTTTGAAAGGTGCCAGCTTAGAGGCGTGAAAGACAGGGTAAGTGCGGAGGTGACCAGGTATCCGGATAACATAAGATGGACCATCCGGATCTGTCCCAACGATGTCCAAGACTTCCCAGGGTCCAAAGTACTGGGGCATGAGTTTGCGGGAGATCCCGTGCTCCTGTCCCAGTTCTGACGACTTCACCCAGACCCTATCCCCAACCTGAAATGTAGAAGGTCGGCGGTGTCTTTTTTCAGACTCTATCATTGCAGCCTGCGCCTTCTGCATCTGTTCTACAGCCTGCTGCATCTTCTGTTCATAGCGATATGCAAATTCTAAGGTACCTGGTGCAGCAGTGGATTGATTCTTAGGGAGAAGGAAATCTAGGGGCAGTCTCAGCTTAAATGTTAGCAGTAAGCTATTTGGGCTCACCCCGGTGGCGCTGTGTACAGCGTTGTTATACAAGCTGGCGATGAGAGCAAGCTTCTCATCCCAGTCCACCTGGTTGGGCTTGATGTAGTGCCTCAACAGGTGTTGTACAGCGCGATTCAGTTGCTCGGCTTGTCCATTGGCCTCTGGATGATTCCCAGAAGTCATCTGCAACTGAGTTCCCTGCTCTGCAGCAGCGGCCTTCCACAACTCGCTGGTAAACCGGACATCCCTGTCACTGACAATAGACTTCGGTAAACCAAAGTCTCTAACCCAGTTTTCTTTGAACACTCGGATCACATACTCCATCTTTGTTGTTTCCGGCATTGCTACTAACCTAGCATACTTACTAAATCTATCCACGATGACGAAGATGTGACGCATCCCGCTCTTGCTAGTAATTAGAGTATCCACGAAATTCATGGACAGACTCTCACCAGGTTGTTCCGGAATCGGAAGAGGCTTCAAAAGCCCAAGAGGAGCCTGAGTGCGTGGCTTGTCCCTTTGACAAACTTGACAAGTCTCCACGTACACCTGGGCATCTCGCATCATCGTGGGCCACCAGAACCGCTGCAGCAGATTGGCTGCGGTCTTCTTATACCCAAAATGGTTTGTGGCATCATGGCACTCACCAAAAAAACAAAGTACGCAAAGACTCGCTATTTGGGACACACAATCGTTTATTCCCTTCCTTCTCAAGGAACAGCAAGCCATTGACCATCTCAAACTTGGCAGAAGTCTTCTTGTCCTTCGCCTCAAGTCTGCGTATGATCTTAGACATGAACTGGTCCTCGGGATAGGCTTCCACCAAAGACTGAGTAACATTGTCCGTCAGATCGAACTCATTAATCAGCACACCTGAGAAATCAGGTCTATGCAACAAGGCATCAGCAACCTTGTTGTACTCCCCTTTCAGATACTGAGGGTCAAAGTCATATTGCTCAATGACTTCGATCCAACGCTTGAGGGCTTCAGAGAGAATAGGCTGAGTTCTAATCCATATCAGGGTCTGATGATCAGTCCTGAGGATGAAGAACTTCCCAAGGAGATGGTGTCTCCAATGGGTCAGAGCATTGTACACCACATAGAGTTTCTTCTCATAGGTGGACTTCGCCAACTTCTGAGAGGGCATCTTCTTGGACATGTACACTACAAGCCTTAACTGTGGCCCCTCCTGCTGTGCGAGCATGGTGCCAATGCAATATTGGCTGGCATCCGTGGTGACTATAAACGGCTTATCAGGATTAGGAAGTTTCAAGACCTCGTAGTGCATCAACGCATGCTTCAGATGTCTGAAAGCAGCCTCGCACTTATCTGTCCACTCCCATGGGGTGTCAAGGCGCGTCAGATCAGTCAAAGGAGCGGCCACTATACCATAGTTCTTAACGAAGGTCCTATAGTAGCATGTCATTCCTAAGAAAGACCTCATCTCAGTCACAAACTGAGGATGTGGCCAATAACGAATGCTGGCCACCTTCGCGTCATCGGGCTTCAACTCTTCCGCGGAGATCTCATGACCCAAGTACAAGACACGGGTGCGGCCAAACTCGCACTTCTCACCGTTGATCTTGAACTTGTGCTGTCGCAGGAGACTGAGGACTTTGTCCAAATGTGCAACGTGCTCCTCGACAGTCTTACTAAAAACAAGTATGTCATCGAGGTACATGATGACAAACTTATCCAAGTAGTCATGGAATATCCGATTCATAGCGTGCTGAAAGGTGCCAGGAGCATTGCAAAGGCCGAAAAGCATCACCACAAACTCGTACAGACCGTACCTGGTCTGAAAAGTGGTTTTGTGTTGATCCTCGGGCCAGATTGCAATCTGATGGTACCCGGACTTCAGATCTATCTTACTAAAGTACCGACACCCTTGCACTCTATCTAACAGATCATCGATGCGCGGTAGGGGCTCTCTATTCTTTACAGTGATGGCATTGAGGCCCCTATAATCAATGCACATCCTAAGTGTACCCTCCTTCTTCTTAGGTACGAATAGTGCTGGAGATCCATAAGGAGAGACACTCGACCGGATCCAACCCTTCTCTACGAGTTCCTTGAGCTGTCGGCGAAGCTCATCGAGCTCGCCTGGAGACATCCGATAGATCCTACCCTTCAGGATACTAGACCTTGGGATAATCTCTATCGCGTGGACGACCTCCCTCTCGACAACCCCTGTCGGCTCTTCAAATAGATCAGGGTACTTGGCAACTACTCCCTCTATCTCCGACGGCATTTTCGTCGGCTCGCCTGCAGCAGAGACATAAACTAAGTACATACCCTCCTCCTGGTTTTGCTTATAATAACTGTAGAATGCGGCCGCACACATGCACCCATAGGACTCAATCAGACTACTAGCTTTGAACTTATGTAATTTGGCGGTCCCTCCACCTTGCAAAGTGTGTTTGACCAGTTTTCGGTCCCAGTCAAACTGGGACTGTGCCACAGAGAGGTAGTACATAGTAACATATCCATTGGGAGCTCGTCACTCACTAGGAACGAGACGCGATGTCTCAATTCCCCTCTCGCGTACAGGAAACAACACTCAACATCCTGAAGGTAGTCGTTGACTACCATGCGCTGTTTGTTGGCACAGGTCGACTCCACAGGTCGACTCAGGCGATGCACTCGTCCCTGTAAACGCAGCCTCTCAACGCACGCGCGACTAATAAAGTTCCTTGTCGAGCAAGTGTCATGACAGGCCCCGGCCTTGCAGCCACCAATGACAACCTCGCTGACGAACATCTCATCCTTCGGGGCTTTGACTAGGGCCGTCCAAGAAGCTAGCGGGTCTGATCGAGACCACTCCACCTCTAGCTCCTCGAAGGACTCAAACACATTCATCGAAATGAGTCTGAATGTGTTCGCGAGACGACGCTGGAGTCAGTAGCTTGGGCCATCTCTCGAGATGGTGAGGGTGTCTCCACCACCTCGACCCTAGTAGGAACAACTACTATTCCTACTGGCCCGACGTGTTTCCCAGAGCAGTGTCTGAAGTGCTGGCCACATTGCTACCAACGGGATGTGAGGATCCTACCGCCTGCCCCATCGTAGGCGGGATTTTGTCGGTCACCTTCTTGTTACGGCACTTGAAGTGATTATGGCCATATTGGCCACAACGAATGCAAGTCTGTCGTGTGTACCAATCTCTCCACACGTCCTCTACGAGACCCGCCTTCTCCCATGGGGGAGCGTTGGGGTCAACTTGAATCCTTGACCGGGAACCTCCACGGCGTCTACCGGTCGCCTTACCTTTTTGAGTTACGGCAACAACTACTCCACCCTCTGAAGCTTCTACGCTGCCCGCCTCTGAACCTACTCCTTCCTGAAAGTGTTCGTCTAATTCGATGGTTGAACCATCGTTATCGACAAACATAATGCGCCCCTTCGCCTTCCAGTTAGGAGGCAGTGTCTTTCTCCTTCCATCCGTAGTGGGTGCTTGTCCATGCCCTATCTTTGCCTCAATGTCTAGGACCATCTTGCTAAACGAAGGAAAGTTGTGCATATTGATGTTGGCCTGACTTGCCAACTGGTTCCTGAGAGGCCAAGAAAAGCATCTCAAGTATGAGGTAAGCAGAACCTAGGGGTCATAGCGCACCCCTGGGACACAGATCAGACGCTCAACAGCATCGGTGGCTTCCCTTACTGACTTAAACTGTCGCGTGTGCAATGCCAGGATCGCATCAGTGGCCCTTTGGGCCTCCTGAGGATCGTGCCACCTTTCTTCCACCATCTTCAGGAAGTCCTCCAATTTTTGAGTGACCTCCCAAGCGCGGAAGTCATGACCATACCCCTGGAGCTCCACTAAACCACTCAACCATCTTGTTGCACTACCCTCTAGGTAGGAAGCAGCCACAAGCACTTCTTCGTGCAGCAAGGTAAGTTTACACCTGACATAGACTGGCACTGACCTCAACCATGTGTCAAGGTCTTCACCTCTCTTGTCCCCTGTGAAGGGTTTCGGAGTGGCGATGACCGTCTTTGGAACCCACTGTGTTTGTCCCGGTCCCTGCATCACGACGGGCTGTGGACCCTGTGACACCGGTTGCTGTGGTAGCTGCTGGGGTTGTGTGCCCTACGGCTGCACAGGCTGCGAGACAGCAGGCTGCGTGGTGACTGCAACCTGCAACGGAGATTGGGTGTACACTGTCTGAACAGGAACCTGCAAACTAGTCCCTGCTGATACCCCTCCTGACAGCGGCATGCCCAGGGAAACGATCGCAACCGATGACGGGGCTACATATGGGGATACCCCAGTCACCGGTGGGACATAAGGAGGAGGATGTACAACGGGCCAGGCACCAGGCCCGGACATTGGCGATGCTACCTGCGTTCGCCCAACCAACAGGGCCAGACTTAGTTGGATGTCCTGCAGGATGGTTGTCTGATGATCCTGCATCTCAACTACATTCATCAGGATAGACCGTACGAGTCTCACATCATCAGTCACGTTCGTCAAGTCCATCTCCTCTAACTCACTAACGTCCGCTTGTCTACGTTGCATCCTGGCTCTTCTTCTGATCATCCTTTCTTTCTCCGCATTTATATCTCCTAACGCCTTTTGTAGCTGTGCCTCCTGTAATGCTGCTTGTTGTATGGCGATCTCATCGGGCGTCAACACCAGTGGCTGGCTTACCATTACGCCAGCGGACTGACTCTGGGTCTGCGCGACCGTTGATCCAACCGACCCTGAACTACCGGCCTGAGTAGACTGTTGTGTTGAGGTGGCCATGGCTTCTGAAGCTGCGGCTTCACTCACTAGTGCCCTGCTAGCCTCTGCTGCTCTAGCCCTCCTCTGCTGCTGCTGCCTCTCCCTAAGCAGGAGGAACAGATGTTTGTCGCCCTCTGGTCCTAATGCCAAGTGGGCCACTGGGCGCCTTGCCGATCGCAAGATCCGGTCGTCCGGTTGCTGTTCTTCCCTATCGCTCATATGCTACAGTCTTGTACACAATCTGCACTAATGCACTCTGGGTGCCTACCGCAGCGTAGTGCACAGACCAATTACTGGTGGCTATTTCGGAGATTTTACATTCGGGTCAACAGGTAAGTCAGATTCCTACAAATAAAACTATTTTTAGTTTGACTAGTCCGCACACAGAAGCATCATGAACAAAAGCAGTTCTAACTAATGTTGTCTGTCAGATGTCAATGGCTGTACACCTAACTAATCAAAGCATAAAAATAAAATTATTTGTGTGGACAGGACAGCATGGAATTTTCTCCAACTTATCACCTGGAATTTACCCCTCCCTTAGTTCCCCTGAGTATCTCTTGACGTCAGCATCCCTGAGCAATCCGGAGGCGTTGCGTGTCTAAAGATGTGTGTCTGGCCCACCCCTGTGCCCCGAGTATCTGCTGAGCTGGCCAGCCCTGCACTGGATTATCCTCGCGTGCAGTGAGCCTTACAACCATTGGCTGATCCAAAGGCAATTTAACGTCCGCCCCCAAGTGACTCCAGGAATTCTTTTACGTCGCAGCCGGACGACGATCACAGCTAATGGTTCCCCTTCCGGTGCTTATTTAAAGACGCCCGGTCTCGTCTCCCTCAAGGGCTGGCCTGCCCAACAGTACCCATCTAACAGCGCAGCAAGCCGAACAAAGGACAAGCAGCAAAGCATGCGTGCTCTACTCCCTGTGGGTTGGCATGGTGACCAGGCCCTTCAGAAAGCTCCACCCATCTTCTCCCAGATGCTCCACGTGAACATTGTCGACTCTCAAGGTTGAGCGCGCTCGACACCTCACAATGAGAGGACTCTCAAGATGGAACACACAACCTCACGGTAAGAAGTGTCGGAGAGGGTAGATAAGGTTAAGAGCAACGTACCTCAAATAGCTGCCCCCAACCGCAGAGATAATCTCACCAGATGACCAAATGGTGATTGTGATGACCAGTCACTGCTCAGGTAGGCACTCTTCCCACAAGACTGTTTTTCTCAACAGTTTGTGGGTGTACCACCCGAGCTAGGTCCAGCGGTACTGTTCCCACAGACCTACTTTCAGCAGTCCGCGGGTGTACCACCTGAGCTAGGCCCAGTGGCACTGTTCCCACAGGGCTACTTTCAGCAGTCCGCGGGTGTACCACCTGAGCTAGGCCCAGTGGCACTATTCCCACAGGCCTACTTTCAGCAGTCCGCGGGTGTACCACCTTAGCTAGGCCCAGTGGCACTGTTCCCACAGGCCTACTTTCAGCAGTCTGCGGGTGGAACAACTGAGC